GGTTCTCCAAACCCTTCAGCATCGTTTCTAAGTCCATAGAAAGAGGAGGATCTCCATTTCCAGAATGGAGATCTCACAGTTAGCTTTACATTCCTGGAGCTTGAGGCTCCAGAGGGACCCATTCGTTAAGTGGTCATCTTGTGTTTGCACTCCTTCAGGGACAATCATGTCAGTGTAGCACTGTTCTCTAGCTACGCCGAGCCAGTAGCTTGCTGCCCCATTTCTGTTGGGGAATATTATTTTAAGGTGTGCAACTTTTGTTTATGCTGCGTTTGTTTAACTCTGTGAAGTTGTGTTACCGTGCCTGTCTAAAACACGTGGCGGTCCTAATAAAGAGCTGAACGACCAATAGCGAGACAGGAGCGAGGATTAGGTGGGGCTGGAAGGCAGAGAGTAGGAGAACCAAGGAAATCGCAGCTAGAGAACAAAGAGAGGAGGATGTCAGGGGACAGGCGCCCAGCCAGCCACAGAGAAGGAAGGAAAGGTAGATGGGCTAATGGGCTAATTAACTTAAGAAAAGCTGACTAGAGACAAGCCACGCTAAGGCCGGACATTCATAACTAATCATAGGCCTCTGTGCGTGAGTTACTTGGGGGATGGGTGGTGGGGCCCTCAAAAAGCCAAAAGAGTAAATAATAAAAAGAAAATATCAATATAATGGTGACCAATGTGGGGTACCAATTTGTTGTTTTTCCTTTTTAACTGTTGTTGCTTTTTAAGCTATGGCTAACCTATTCAGCAACTGCCACTCCGCTGGTACCAAGAGCCAAAGCCTGAGGGAATTCTGTTCCTTCAGGCACCAGACTTTGCAAAACTACTAAGAAAACTTATCTAAATCTCTGTCCTGCTAAGGAACTCAAGGTTCAAAGGTTGGGGTAGAACCCTGCTTCCCAGAGAGGCTGAATAGCAAGCAGCTCCCCTCTTCACATCTCCCGTGAAGTCCTCGTGAAGTCCTCATGCTTTTCTCGCCCCTCCTTATAAACCCTTCTCCACCTGGCTCCACCCTACAACTTCCTGTCAGCTAATTGCTGACCCAGCCTCTTGACCACGGATGAACTTTACTTAATCAAACAGTTTTGCATCACTAAACAAATGTTCCAGAGCATAAACAAAAGCCCCTGGAAACAATGTTCTACAGCACAATTCCATGTGCCATGGCCAGCACACTGTGCTTCCTGAGATGGTGTGAATGGAAGTGAGTTAACACAGATGTACGTTTGCATGGATGTGGGTTAGCATGGACGTGAGTTTGCATAGATGTGAGTGTGCATGGACGTGGGTTTACGTGGATGTGGGTTTGCGCGGACGTGAGTTTGCATGGACGTGAGTTTGCATGGACGTGAGTTTGCATAGATGTGAGTTTGCATAGATGTGAATTTGCACGGCAAGCGGGAAGCTAAGGAGGCTCCTGGGGAAGCGGGAAGTGGACCACATATCCCGGTGACCACTTGTCCCCAGACAGTTGCTCTGACGCCCCTCCTGCCTCCTCTCCCCTGGTTTATGAATTGAGAGTAGTGTGCTGATAGGCTCTGAGTCTGAACTTAGAAGTCAGGTTGGTCTGGTGGGGATCTCAGCTTTCCTGCTTGCTAGTGGCATGACCTGGGTGGGGCCTTCCATGCTGCTTTGTCTAGATCAGCAACAAGGAGACAATCACAGCAGGAACTAGCTCAGGAACGTGAAAGAAGACATGTAAGGAGGCGCTGCTTTGGAGTCAGTTATAAAACATGTATTGAAAAGAAGTTTTGCAGGCTGGAGAGATGGCTCAGTGGTTAAGAGCACTGGCCGCTCTTCCAGAGGTCCTGGGTTCAGTTCCGAGCTACCACACAGTGGCTAGCAACCACCTATAATGGGATCTGATGCCCTCGTTTGGCATGCAGGCATACACGCAGACAGAACACTCATGGCTAGATCGATCAATGAACCGATCAATCAATCAGCTGGAACTGGGTTGTGTTCCCATCACTCATGCTGTTTTCACCTCGCAAGCTTCATCTGAAAGATAGGAAACTGAGATCCAGAGAGGCATGGATTCAGCTAAGCCCCACCCCCCAGCAGAAATCAGGGAAGTGAGAGTCCAGGGTTTTAGTTCTGTTTCCACAATGCTGTGCAGCTGTGACCTAGTCTATACTCACCCGGGTCTTTGTTTCCCTACTGATCAACCAAGAGGAAGGGCTGGTCATCCTCCTGCAGCTTCTAGCTCCATCTAACCCCTGGAGTCTGTGAGGGGCCGAGGGGTGGGGGGGGTTAGTGGTATCATGGTTATACCAGGGTAACCCTAAAACATTGCAGGGCTGTGGCATGTGCAGTGGACAAATCTTGAGGAGACCCAGCCTCAGCTAAGCAGCACCCACAGTATAGATGCTACCAGCTTACGTGGGAGCTTCTCAACAGGGAGTGGACCTGGCACCTTCAGACCCAGTGCTCTGTGGGAGCTGGGCAGCCTCTGGCAGGCACACCTCCCTCTCTGGGTTTCTGGGCTCTTCCAGGTCGTGAGTTCATTAGGACACTGGGAACCGGCCTCTAGCTGGGCCTCCCACCAGCCTCTGCCCTCCCTAGGCTCAGGCTCTGTTCAGGGAAATGTGCCTGAGGAAGTGGAGATAACTCTCAAGAGCCCCATCGGGTGAGATGCAGCAGTCCTTTGAGACTGGTCCTGGTCTCCACTCCCCCTCCCATTCGGGGATGGAGATGAAGACATATTGAGTATGGGTCCTCGGGACAAGGGTTCCCTAGCTTTCCAGCTATCTGATCTCTCTGGGCCTCATACTGTCAGACTCATGCCCTTTCCCAGCACTGGTAGCCATGGGCTTCCTGGAGGTCATTCACCCACAGTTTGGCCCAGGATCTGTGCTTAGCAAGGCAAAAGTAACCTCTCCTCACCATGACTCTACCAGACTGAACGAGAGGGCTTTGACTTGGGAGCTCTGGAGTAGGCTCCAGGGCCTTCTCAGACAGGAGCTTCTTCTACGTACCCAGAGCCTGCCCTGCCCCCAGACCAAGGGTCAAATTGATTATGTAGGGTTCCCAGGCTATAGGCAGGTAATTGCTTTATTAGTAAAACACAAAGACTTTAATGAGCAATTAACTAGTAAGTGGTAATTGCTAGGACCACTCATTACTCTCAGTGGGACCAATCTTATTAACAACCTAAGGAAGGCTGATGTCCTGGGTTTGCTTCCCTCAAGAGCCTACGGGAGGCAAAAGGCAAAGGACTGTCTTTCTAGAAGGCTTTCTGGAGACCAGGCAGTGTGCTCCATAAACCTGCCTCTCCTGTCTGTTTAGAAAGGCACTATTCCTGTGCCCATTGTCCAGACGAAGGACTGAATCTCAGAGTGTTTATCCCCTTCTCCAGGGCCACACAACCTAGTGGAACTAGGAACTAATGGTTCCTAGTCCATCTCATTCCAAAGTTATCCCCCTCTTATTGAGACAAAGTCCTGTATATACTCAAACTTTCTGTGTTGCTAAGTCTGATCTGAAAACTGTGGTCCTCCTGCCTCCAACTCCTGTGGGATGGGATGACATATACGTGCCACTGAGTCAAGTGATGCTTTTTCCTTGAGGTCTCTCAGGTCCCTTCTCTTTTCTTTTATGGCTGGACGTTAAGGAGATATTTCCCAGCTCTCCATGGCTTTGCAGGCAATAGGTATGGAGACTCAATTCTGTTCCTGCTAAGATCCCATTTTCAGCCACAAAAGAAGCCCTCGGGACTTCAGACCCACGAGGCAGTCCTATCCCCTTGGCCCTCTTCTGCCCCTTAGCTACCAGCTTCCACCCACAATTTCCAGATCCTTCTCTGGCTGCCCATTTCTCTCTCCCAGAGCAGGGTACTGAGCCACACTCATGAGATTAACTTAATGTTTAGAAGAATTATTTTAACTGTGTAGGTGTTTTGCTTGCATGTATATCTGTGTACCACATGAGTGGCTAGTGCCTGCAGAGGAGGGAAGAGGGCATTGGGTCCCCAGGAACTGGAGTGACAGATGACTGTGGGTTTTGGGAATCAGACTCAGATCCTCTGGAAGAGCAGCCAGTGCTCTTAACCACTGAGCCGCCTCTCAAGTCCCGAGAATAATTTTAAAGATATGTTTTTATCATTTTAATGTGTGTGTGTGTGTGTGTGTGTGTGTGTGTGTGTGCAGGTGTTCTCAGAGGCCAGAAGAGGGTGTGGGATCCCAGAAGGTTGTGAGTTGTCCAGTCAAAGTGCTGGGAACTGAACTCTGGCCCTGTGCAAGAGTAGTACCCACTCTTAACAGATGAGCCATCTCTCCAGTCAGACCACTCACTTAAAAACATTTTTAAACTGGGCAGTGTTAGTACACGTCTTTAATCTTAGAACTTGGAAGGCAGACAAACTCTGAGAGTTTGAAGCCAGCCTGGTCTGCAGATTGAGTTCCAGGACAGCCAGGGCTACACACGGAGAAACCCTGTCTTGAAAAACATCTTTTTAATTACACGTGTGTGTGTGTGTGTGTGTGTGTGTGTGTGTGTGTGTGTGTGTGTGTGTGTAGGTATGTGGGTGTGTTGACATGTTGTGTGGGTGTGTTGACACATTGTATGGGTATGCATATGCCATGACATACATGTGGGGTTGGGGGCAAACTTTTAGGAGTCAGTTCTCTCTTTCCACCATGTCACAGGGACCAAACTCCGGTTGCTGGGATTGGTGGCATATGCTTTGTCCCCTGAGCCATTTCACTGGTCACAAGATTAACTTCTAATTTTAGTATCACAACTAACCCCTTCTTTAGTTATGACCCATGTCCCAGATCATTTAAAGTGGGATATGGTGTTTCCTTTTAAAAGGCAATTGTTTCAAGTCAAACACAAAAAAAGATCAGTTAGATCTTTCAACTCCACACCTCAGGTGCTGAGGCAAAAGGATTGCTAGGAGTCTGAGGCCAGCCTGGGCTACATAGCACAACTCTGCCTTAAGCAAAGCAAAACAAAACAAAATAACGAGAGCAGCAGCAACAAAAGCTGACTCAGAAGATAACGGTAGGTAAATATTTAACAGGTTTTATTCTTAGCTTTGGAAATACTGACCACAATGGAACTTGTTGAGGTAATCTGGGATGGGGTCTCTTTGGCCTAGAAAGCACTAGTCGGTTCCACGAGGGAAGTCCTCAAGCCTTCAGTTCCACGGGGCTGTTTGTCCCTGCAGTCCTTCTGCTGCTCCTTGGCTGCCAGCCAAGAGCAGGCCCTTGAGGGAAGTTGGCTTTCCTCCCCAGCCAATGACTGGTGTTGCTGGGTGGCTTATTTCTCTGAAAAATGTTATCAAGCGTCTGCACACACACATTTAGAACAATCGCCGTTGCCTGTGGGGAAAGGGGCGGGAGACCAACGACATGGAAAACAAAGGAACTCCTGAAAGATGGACGTATCTTGATTGGGTGAGGGTCTGGTTGCACCAGTGACACACACACCGAGTCACTGCCTGGTAGCTTACCCTAAACCAATGTAAACGGTGGAAATGTTAAGGTGGACAAATCAAGCTGGCTTGAAAGTAAAAGCCAAACCAAAGCCATGATCGCGGGCTGTAGTTCTTCAGAGTTTGGAGCTCTGTGTTCAGCTGTACTGTGGTGGTGCTAGCTCCTACCCAGCTGGCATTCCAGCTGTGCCCAGAAGCCAGTGTTCGCAGAGTTCCGCCATGTGCCAATCTTGACAGCAGCGCCCAACGTGTCTAAGAAATGTCTGTCAAAGCATTATCATGTCAGTGGGAAAGGGTGGCTTTGTCAGTAGAGGAAACTGGGATGGCTGTTCTCCAATAGAAGCAAATAACAAAACCCTGCTTCATGTGGTGTACACACACAGACACTCCGGTGGCTGAATGTGACTAAAACCGCAACATTGCTAAAAGAATACAAGACAACTACTGCACCCGCCATTCTCTGGGCCATTGTCCTCACAGCGATGCGGCAGGAGGCCCACCTGCTCTGCACACTAGGCAAAGCGGACAGTCCTTCCCTTCACAGCACGTCAAGAAAACCAGGAGTCCTATGAGTATATGGCATTGCGAAATGTTTCTGTGATCAAAGACACACCAAGAAAATGGGCATCCAGTAGGCCACAGGAAGATGAGTGTCTCACATTCTTTAAGGAGTAAGGTTCTTAGACGCAGAAGGCTCTATGAGTCAGTGGGAAAAAATGACAAAAGGCCTAATAAAAATGGGCAAAGTATGCAAGGTTTGTATTTCACGAAAGAAATGAACATGGATGGTGAACTTCTAAAAAGATGTTCAGTCACACAGAGACCAAAGCTGGAAAATGTATAGGATGAGGTAGTTCAAGGTTATTCTCAGCAATGAGAGACCCTGTGTCAAAAAAAAATGAAAGGAAGAGAGAAAGAAAGAAAATGCATAATGAAAGTACATGGTATGGATATGACCCAGTTAAAGCTTTCTATGGCATTTAAAATCGTTACTACTTATTAATAAAAACTTTAATTATATAACATTTGTGGCCTAGTTATCTCTTTTAGAAATGTTTCTGTCAAAAGCAGCCACTCCTCTGCCCCCAAAGACCTGCCAATCTTTGCAAAGTGCATACGTGGGTGAAAACTCGCTGTTCTAACTAGTTTTGCATCCTCTATAGTGAAAGTCTTGCACCAGCTAAAAAGGGTGAACTAGAATTTCCTGTGTTGAACTGGAGTGACAGACATTATAGCCTGGAAAGGGCCATTAGCTGCCCATACTAGGAGTTTGGAATTATTATTCTGGTTCTGTAGCTGGAGAAACTTGGGCCCAGAGTGATTAAGAAATTTGCTCAAGGCCGTGTGTCTGCTCACTTATTGAGAGACTGACCGTACAACTTGAGCATGGAACCCCAAGTGTGGTTTTCCAGACCTGAAGGTCTGCAAATGCAGCAACCTCGCAACCGATACTGAGGAGTACGTCACTTTTAATCTACCAAACTGATAAAAAGGGCTTACAGCAAAAAGTCTGGGTCCTCATTCTTCCGCGTGGCTTTGGCTTCAGTGGCTGCCTCTTGGCCATAAATGACATGCTTAGCCTGCTATTTCTTGATTCATTAACCTTGGACTTTAGCTATCAACTCTTGCAAGCTCTCAAGACAGTCAGCTTACTTCCCCTTCCTGTTGTCACTCTGTTCTTCACCCACTCCTGCCTGGGCCCTGGGCTGACTGTTTGCAACCTTGCTTCTGAGATTAGATCAAGGTCAACAGTTCTGGCCTTGACCAGGTCAGTACGGAGAGAGAACCTGGTCTCCCTAGGCCAGGCTGTTTTCTCTGACTCTCGACTGCAGGGGCTCAGCACAGCTGTGTGGGCATCCTAGCTGAGGGCCTACTAAAGGCTGGCAAAGGCTGTCTGCCACCCCGAGGCCTGGGCAGGTGTGTTTGAGATGGGCAGGTAAAGCTGCCTGCTATCAGCCAGTAGGAGTTTTATTCGCCACTATTGGCCGACACATTATCTCAGGGGTTTCTGCACGTCTGGCCTTCCAGATCACAGGGCCTGGGTCTCCAGAGGAAAGATGAGCCCGCGGCTGAGGTCAATGGAAGGCTGGCACCTGAGACACTTCGGGGAAAGCTGCCTTTCCATTGCCAAGCCGAGTCACCTGGTAGGAACTCTCCAAATGGCAGGACCAACACCGGGTGCCCGTGCAAACAGGTTGAGTCAGAGACTGGTGGGAGGCTGAACTAGATGGCAAGCTGCCCAGACGACAGTGATTGGCAGAGGCCACACAGCAGCTGAGGGGACAGGAGTCCCTAAAGCCTCTTTATCTTAGGGGAGAGCGTAGGACCTGTTTGTGGGTCTGAGCATAGACGGGCTATTTACTCAAATTAGACTCTCCACCTCTCCAAGCCTCTGCACTCTGACAATGGGTACATGGAGAGCAGGAAGGAGTCTGGTTCTGAAACTCTTAAGTGCAGCTGGGTCAGGGGTAAACTACTTGCCTAGCACACACAAGGTCCTGGGTTCTATTCCCAGCACCATGAAAATAGATAGATAGATAGATGTAAAAAGAAACAAATAATGACAGCCGAGGAAGATTCTTGAACCCGTGCTAGATGGATTTTTACTATGGCTACGCTAACAGTGACAGGGTAATCGTCAGTCAGGAAATGGTCTGGTCTGTTCAGGGTGAGTATGGCCATACAGGGTACCAGATACATGTCCTTCTTTTGTTCTCCACCCCAGGGTATGGCCAATAGCATGTGTTCTATTCAGATGGGCAAGTGGGGGACAGGAATACACGGCTTGGCACTTCCTTTTAAGACTTCTAAAGATATTTGTTTGTTGTTTACTTGTTGTGTGGGTATGCGTTTGGCCGTACGTACCACAACGTGTGGAAGTTAGAGGCCAGCGTTTGGGAGGTGGCTCTCTCCTTCCACCATGTGGGTTCCAGGGAACAAGCCAGGCTGTCAGTGGAAGCAGCTGCTTTGACCTGAGGCCTCTCACTGCCCAGAGCTCTTCTGCTCAGAAGCAGGGAGCCCAACAGCGCAGACTCGGCTCCCAGTGGCCACCTGCTGTCCAGGCTTCAGTCACGGGAACACCCTTAACTGCAAGGTGACCTAGCAAAGGCTCTGTTTCCAGCAGCGGCAATGACACAGGGAAGCAGCCAGTGTCGACATAGGCTCTAGAAGGGCCCAGCTGGAGCCAGGACCAGGCTCTGGCTTTGGATTGGTTTCATTTGATTTCCGATGGCTTTCAACCCTCCAACCCCTGCCTCACTTTTAACACTTGGGATTTTTCACACAACAGTCACATTTCTAGCTTACATGGCAAAAACAGAGGGCCAGACCACACTGCCCCGTATTTGCTGAGTGAGTTTTCTCAGAGTTGGGCACACTGCTGTGGGGCTGTGCTCTCCAGTTCCTCCCTCCCTCCCCACCTGCCCCATCCCCCCCCTGCACTGGCCAGCTTTGTCACCTGTCCATGAGCACCACAGTTTGTAATTCCTGCCCCAGTACAGCAGCCGCCATCCAGAGCCGAAGAAACGGAGGCCAGGGACAGCCCCCCTGGAAGATCATAGCATACCTCCTCACAGGACGCCCCAGGCCCAGCCGGGGGCTTCTCTGTCTGGGAGTAAGGGTGCCCTAGTGGATAACAGGCATGGCCAGTTATCCAGGGCTCCGCCTGAATCCTGTCACTTTCTAGAGCAAGTGACACCAGTTCCCCAAGTCTCATCTTCAGACTATCTTTTTGGTAAAGTGGTGACAGAGTCGGCTTCCTCATGACTCAAGGTGGGGCTTTTGACAGTGAACATCTGCTGTGTTGGCTCTCCTAACTGTACCAGACAGGTGGGAAAGCAAAGGTATTTACCCACTGTGGGCCTGTGGCCACCAGGTCTGTCTAAGCTGCAGTTTCTTTCCTCTGTGGCTATGGCAGCATCATGGTGCTGAAGCTTCTGTGGTGTGACCAGCGCCGTCAGGCTGAGGAGTTGAGACGGAGCAGCGCTGTGCTGGGAGGCCCTGAAAACACAAACGCTCTCTTGAATACATGAGCAGGGCTGCAGGCATTGCATTTCTCCCGTCCTTGGGGCTGCCTGCTGGGGTTCAGTTATGGCCTGGCCACGAGGAGACCCAGCTCCCTTTTGAGTCAGCTGTTCCAAGGAATGGCATGTTTCAGAACTGGGGTTAGCCCTCAATGCATCCCTACCACAAGCCCATATCTGGTTTCCGCTTCTAGGTAAGCCATATACCTAGGTACTCATGAGTTTTGTTTTAAACAAACACCATTTGCATAGCCGCGATGGAAATAATTTTAAAGTGGTTTTTAAAAAGTACCCACAGTCCTAGCCCAAAGGTTCTGCATCCTGACAGCATTGCCTAAGAACCTGTGACAAGTGGGGCATTGCCATGGTGGAAGGATGAGCTTAGATGGAAAGACTGTGGCACCTCCTTAAGGTCACTTGAACAGGGTCCCAGGATCTGTCCTCAGGGTGTCCCTCCTTGTCCTACACCTCTGCCATCCTCAGGCTTGGCTCAAATACTCTAATTCTTGCTATGTAGAGACCTCCCTGGGTACCAGCTCGGCCTTGGAGAAGAAATACTCTCGAGACCAGTGAAGATACAGCCTTTGTGTTCTCTTTATTTCTACTGGATGTTCCCCTACAGTAAACATGTTGTTGCTGTGGCCACACAGATGATCACGGGACCAACTATCTGGGTTTGCCTAGGACCAAGCAGTTTCTTAGAATGCGGAACTTTCCAGGCAAGGACAACTGGGGACAAAATGAGACAGCTGGTCACCTTCAGGGTGAAAGCTGGGGTGAGTGTTTTCCTGGCGCTGGACATGTAGACTATTTCTAGCTCTTTGCTTGTCTGGCTGATGGCCCTGTCATAGTCTCTTGTTACCAGACTTTCCTTTCCTTGGGGTCTTCCTCCAGATGAGGAGACCTCAGAGGAGATACTCAAGACTCAAACCCACATGGTGACCCAGCTCTTATCTGAGCCCATGGGAAGCCACCTGGGGACCTAGGATAAGCTAAGGGGAGGACACCAATGGTAGTGCTGGCGCAGAGACTGTTAAGTGTTTGAACCATCTGTGGCTTGGATGCTAAACAGTCACTGTGAAATCACAGGACCTGGAGAGAGTTCAGTGGTAGAGCGATTGTCTAGCATGCTTGAAGTCCTGGTTCCAGAATTAAAACTGGGCATACGCCCGTGATCCCTACTACTTGGTTGGATGAGGCAGGAGGATTGCTCGAGCCTAGAAGTTTGGAAGCTGTCTGCACACAGCAAGTCCTGATCACAAAAGGAAAAAGAAGGTGGCTGAGGGGAGGGGGGAATAGGGAGAGAAGGCAGAAGGGGAGGGGGGAGGAATTAAGTTACATAAACAAAGTTGCAAAGTAGTAAATACTCTGAGCTCTAAACACCCTTTTTCGCTGCTTTCAGTTGCTTTTGAGACAGGGTCTCACTGTGCAGACCCGGCTGACCAGAAAATTTCAGAGATCCACCTGCCTCTGCATTCAAAGTGCTGGGATTAAAGATGTGTGCCACCGTGCCCCACTGATGTAGCCCTTTCTAACCGTCACATTTGGCTGTGGTCTGTCACCATTGTCCGACTGCTGGCTCCATTTGCTTCCTTTGTCGTGGGAATCAAGGTTCACATACTTGAGCAGGAGATGTGTGACAAGCGTGCTGGAGACTCTTAGGGTCAAGACTTATGAAACAGGGAATGTGAGCCCAGACAGCCATTCAGGGAAGGTGGAGGTGGAAACCTACCAATGCTACCCACCCAGGGATGTCAAAGAAGGCCTTCATCCACCAGAGTCCTGGAAGGCTCTTGGGGCCCTCAGAGGAACTAGCCCTGTGGACACCTCGATCCTGAGCTTCTGGGTTCTGGAACCAACAACACATTTCTTTTCTTTAGACCACCTAGTCTTCTGCACTTTGTCACAATTCCCTGGTAGACTCACGCCTACTGCTTGGGGTTGGTGACATTTACTACATGGATGTCAGGTCAATACTGTAGAATACTGAGCCTCTGTGTATCTTCCTTGGTTCTGAGTCCAAGGCGTGGTCTCTTCAAGCCGTCTGTGATGAGGCTGAGGTATAGGAATCTGAAAGAGATGGGAATCAGCCTTCGGTCATTAGCTTGCTGATCATCTGGATGAATTCAAGGAAGCAGTGGAGAGAATGTTAAATAAGGCACATTTGGTGACGGTCATGCCTGCAGCCACCACCGTCATCATGAGTGATGACAGACAATGGAAACGATGATGATAACCATCAAAGCAACCTAGCATCTTGAACTCTCCTCTAACTCAGAAAAAAAAAAAGTTTGTGTCACTGACAACCAAAGAAAGTTCCACCAGGTTTCATCCTACTTAATGTAAACGAAAATGCCCACACCGAGTTCTGAACAACACTCAGAGCCCGTCATTACCCTTCCCCAGTTCTGCGCCGACTCGGGCAGAGAGGCCGGTTCTGGCCTGCTCTGGGCCCACGGCTGCCTGCCTTCCAGCTTCCCTGAGTGGCTGGAGTTGGTGTCTCTCCCCTGAGGTCCTCCTCCAGTTCCCACCACGCCCACAAGGTGTCAGTTTCCCTACACTTGTGCTCATGGTCCTTCTCAGTCTTCCCCCGTGCTGTTTGCCCTGCCTGTGCCGGATCTACTCTTCTCATGGCTGCCGTCTCCTTCCCTGCTCCGAGAGGGCTTCCCTGATTTCCTAGGTAATGTGGGTTCATGATTTCACACTCTCTTCACCACACTTTTTGTGATATGTAAGTATTTGTCTTCATATTTATTGGGTTACCATTTCTTCAATTTTTTAATCCCTTACCCGACTTCTTCATCGAGGCACGAGTACCTTAAAAGCAGACATAGAGTCTGTCTGGTCCCACAGAGACCAGCTTGACGCTTGGAAAACGTTGAATGGACAAATGAAATATATCAGATATGAAGCTTCGTGATGAAGATAAGGCAGGGATCAGTAGTTCATTCAGATCCTTCCACTGGCCCTGTTTGGCAACGCAGTTACATTTTGGTCTCAGCCTCCTGGTCGGTCCACAATCATTGATGCAATTCAAGCACAGCCTGAGACTCGGTGTTCGGGAGGGACCTGGTGCACAGAGGTGGTCCAGCGAGCTCATCTGAATGCTCCTTCAGGTAAGGGGATGCGGGACCTTGGGGGCTGCCAGGGTAAAGACTAACTTCCTACAGGAGGGTGGGGTGGGGGAGAGGACAAGTGGAGTTTCCCTGGCACAGGAGGGGTGGCAGAGTCCCCTGTGTGGGTGGAACCTGTTCTCAGTGCTAACTCCCCTCTATGCTTCTCCGCTGGGGGCCCAGATGTGGCATTTGGTTTCCCTCAGCTTCCTGTGTCTGTCTAGTGGGCTTACCATGAATGCTATCTCCAGGCTGAGATGGGGGCGGGGGCTGCAAATGTGACTCAGTCACCTCAAGAGACAAGGCTACACAAAAGCAGTGCCGTGAAGTATAGAGGACATGGCCTGGTAGCATTGACTCACAGTGGAGTGGCACATTTCCCTTGCCCACCCTCAGTGTTTCCATCTATAAAATGGGGACAGATACTGCTCTTGGATCTGCGGGCATGGATGTGCCTTCCAGCAGTCCCCCACCCCATCTCCTCCTGTTACTCACCGGGAAACGCGTCACCTCTGATCCCCCCCTAATGACTGAAGGTCAGAGTAAGACTCCAGCTTCAAAGCACCTACGAATGCTAAGTGGCAAACACTCAGACCACAACGAGGTTTCCTGCCCCCGGACTGGGCACAGGTGGGTGACTCTGTGTGGGAGAATCTAGAAGGTTAGACTAGAACGTGACTGAAGGACACAAAGCTGACAATGACAGAGGCTTAGCCCAGTCAGGGTCTGACACAGCCTAGGTTGGCCTTGAACTCCCCAGCCTCTTGCTGGGAGGACAGGCATCACGCCCGACTTGCCATGGACTTACCAAGCCCAGGCAATGCCATCGGATCTCCATGTCTCCTTTCTGTAAAGCAAGGTGAGGCTGCCCGGGGTGCAGCTGTGGTGGGCCCCAGAGCGGCGGTGGCTTTGCACACTGGCACTGCCATGCAAAGAGACTCCTGTCAGGGGTGGCCACTGGAGGCAGCGGGGGCCACCTCCATTCGCCAGCAGGAACAGCACTGAGCACACGAAGGACTGCCTGCCAAAATCCAGTAGCTTACCTTCCGCTGTGCACTGGGAACGGTGGGCACTTATGGGGCACTTAAACGTGTCAGCATTCTCAAGAGGGCTGTAGCACCTTCCCATGGAATTGGGGCAGCATGGATGGGTGCCCCTAACACCTTCTGGGCCGAGGCTTAGGGAGGACTGAGCCGCAGGCAGTATGCTCCAGGACCCTGACACACCATCTCCTGAGCTACCCAGGGTGCTTGCTTTCTGAAACAGAGGCCCCACACCTGGCGCTTACTTATTAGGCAAATATTAGCTCAGTGGTAAACACTGGAGCTAGTGAGCAATGACCCAACTCAGTTAATCTGTGACTAGGAAGTCCTGTCGGAGCTCAGGTGAAGCAAATGTCTTCTCTGTCCAAGCAGCGCTCAACAGTGGCTCTCCACAGATGGGAGAGCACCCAGCCTGAGTTTGTGGGCCTCACCAACTCTGAGAGGGAACGTGGAAGCTTAGCTTGAAAGCATGGGGTGCAGACCTGGGGACCCTCTCGCCCAACCCCTCAAGTGCCTGGAAGGGAAGGAATCTGCATTTTCTGTTTTCAGTGAGGGGTGGTGGATCCATCTGCCTGGGTGTGACTTCAGGCCTGTTCCTGGACCCCACTCTGCCTTATTTGGGAGTACCCCACCCCTCAGCACCAGGTGGCTACTCCCTCCAGGATGAGGGGGGAGTCAGTGTGACCCACAGCCTGCTTTTAACTCAGGGCTGTGGCCTGGATCACGGTGGTTACAACCGTCTCTGCAGCTGGCAGGTCTGAGACTTGGACACACTCTTGTTACATCCCATTGACTTAACGGGCTGTCCCAGGGAATGGGCTGGGTCATCCTGCCAGGGCACCTATCCTGCCAGGGCACACTGTGCTTCCCAGTTCTTGCTGTTTCTGGAAGGCAAGCAGAACAAAGGCAGGGTCCCCCATTTGATAGATGACCTGAGGCACAGAGAGGCTAAGCAACCTCCCCAGGTGCACTCAGCAAGAGAGGGCTCAAGACTGGGACTCTACCATCAGCCCTTGCTGTTAAGTGACAGAGGGCAGTGGTTACACCACATGCCAGGGGCCCTGGGAAGATGTAAAGTGTGGGTGTAACAGCGAGGGAGTCACCAGTGGGCATACAGGAAGTCACTGTGACTCCCCTTGTGTCCTTATCGGGGCAGATGGTATCTCTGGGGAACTCTGTAGTCAGGCTCTTCCTGTGGGCCCTCTCCTAGACTGTCATCTTCCCTGGCACCCCTCATCTGCCCGGTTCAGGGGACCCAGCTTGTGCTGGGCAGAGCAGGAGTGTGTGCCCACACTGTAGCCGAGGAGTTCTCGTGTGGCGGGGTGATGGTGGGATTGAGGGTCTCAGCAGGGTCCGTGCAGAGCCGTCACCAGCAGACAGCTGCTTACCTCATCTCCCTACAACACGTGACCACACCTGTGCTCCCCAGACGCCGTCTGTCCATCCGGCTGTCCTCCTCTGTGGCCTCCTCTCTACCTTTCATTCAGTCACACAGCAGTGAGCAAGCTCCTCCTCAGCCCTCCAGTCAGGCCCACCCTCCTCAGGGCCTTTGCACAGGCTCCTCTCTCCACTAGAATGCCCCACTCTCGGGACCCCAAAGGCTACTTCCTGGAAGCTGTCGATACGCAAGCATCATTTCTCACTGAGAGTCTCACCTCACTCCTTTATCACTCTCCCATCTTCTTTTCTTCCCACAATTCTCAGAATAGCTCTGGACAGATTTCATATTTATTGCTTACTAATTTATGATCTGCATCCCTGTAGCTCTGAGAGGGAAGAGATTTTAGCATATGGTCTCTCTTTTGTCTACCACAGCAATTTGATCACAGTTGGCTTTCCATAAACATGTGGGTGCATCCATCCATCCACCCACCCACTCACCCACCCACCCATCCACCCACCCACCCACCCACTCACCCACCCACCCATCCACCCATCCATCCATCCATCCATCCATCCATCCATCCATCCATCCACCCACCCACCCATCCACCCACCCATCCACCCACCCACCCACCCACCCACCCACCCATCCACCCACCCACCCACCCATCCATCCATCCACCCACCCACCCACCCATCCATCCATCCATCCATCCATCCATCCATCCATCCATCCACTCATCCACCCACTCACCCACTCACCCACCCACCCATCCATCCATCCACCCACCCACCCATCCATCCATCCATCCACTCATCCACCCACCCACCCACCCACCCACCCACCCATCCATCCATCCATCCACTCATCCACCCACCCACCCACTCACCCACCCACCCACTCATCCTCTTTTCTTATTCACTCACCAGTTACCCATCATTCCCGGGCCTGCTCTGGTACCGCTAGGGTACACAGACAAGGAAAGCAGGGGGAATTGATCTTGGTGGCAGCAGGAAACACAATAAAGTCTGAGGGTTCCCAAGGTAAATCCTACAGGAGGGACACCCCCACGGCCCTGGCCCCCAACAGCAGATGATACCACTTTGCTCAAAGGATGAGCCTCTGTTTGAGTTGACTTCTTGGGAGGAAGTATAGCTCAGCCAGCAGGTCTCAGTGTTGGGGGTGTGTGTACATCAGAAGGACCCCTGGGGTACTGGTGCCTGGTTGTAAGAATGCTGACAAGCGGTGGGTGGCAGGGGCTGGGGAAGTGTATGCACAGGGCCTCTCCATTGCAGGGTGGAGCTTGCCTGGACTTCTCCCCTGGCACCCTCCCAAGATACCTGGGGCAGCTGCCACCACCCATGCCTAGGAAAAATTTCCATCTCTGCCCCTTTCCTGCCTGCTCTGCTTCCACCTTAGTCCAGCAGGACATTTGGGAACCCCACACGCAGCCCTGGAGGCCTCCTGCATCTAGCCCGTGGCTGCTCTGTGTTGCATAGCAGCAGACAGGATTTAGGTGGGGCCCTAGCTCAGTGGAGGCGGGGAGAAGTCACAAAGGGCTGGCAGTTTGCAGGTGTGTGGGGGTGTGGCAGCATGCCTCCCACAGCCTGAAAACCCAGAGGCAGGGTGACCTCAGCCTTGCACAGAGCAGCTCATACTGTCCAGGATAGAGATGCCGAAATTTCACGAAGGCTGAAGACCATTCAAACCTCGCCAGAAACTTGGAGTTTCGGAGAAGCCACGGGCACCGGAAGCTAGAAGGGTAGGTGGAGCCTCACCTGAATTGAGTTTACTGCTGCCTAGACAGGCTCAGACTAGGCTCTGGGCACCGAGGAGGATGAGGAGGCTGCCAACGTTGTCAACAGAAGGGCCTGCCTAGACCTGGAGGTGGGAGGCTGCTGTCCAGAGAGGAAGACAGAGGTAAGAAAGGGCAGCAGGTATGGCATGGCCTCAGCCTGGCCCAGCCCACTTGACCTTGGTCTCAGGTTCAGCTCAGTGCTTGGGGGTTCTTGTGAGTGTGCCTGATCCCTGATGTCTCCTGGGAATGAGTTTGAGGCTCAGCTGTTCGGAGGTGGCTCCTAGCTGCTCGGAGTGTGGCCTGGCCATGCTCACGCGGGGTCACTGGACACTGCAGGCGTGAAGTGTGCCCCTCTTAGAAGGAGCCCGTCGATGTGAGGGCCAGAGTGAAGCTTGGAACCTGGCAGCATGAACCCCAACTTCGTCTTGGTCCCCAGTGCTCCCAGAGCAGTTTCCTTCTGAGATCATGGGGAACCGGTTTAGCAGCAGGTCACCCTACTTGTTTGACTTTTGAGGAGGAAGAGGAGGTAGGCGGATTTTCCTGGTGCGGCAGCAAAAGGGCAGAACTCACTTATGTCTGTCTGTCTCTACTGCTGACAACCAAGGGTCCCCTTGCCTCCCAGCCCAGGTTTGTCACCGCATTTACAAGAGTCTAGTCAAAGGTTCCCCTCTCCTACCAGCTGCTTCCTTGAATGCTGGCCCAACATTGCACATGGACAGGGAGGAAAATCAGGCTTGCCATGGCCTCTGGTGGGACCCTGGCACATTCCTGTCTGGACCCATGGCCCTAGCTGTACCATGATGGAGGTAGACAGGGTCCCGGATATGAAAGCAAATACTGCTTCTAAAGCCCCAGCCCCCAGCCCCAGCTCACGGCCCCCACCCAGCCAGACAAAGGTGGGCGGCTGGCGCCGCTGCTCTGCTTCTGCCAGCCTGGCTCCCTGAGGCCTGTGGGCTGCACAGTGGGCCCCTGCTAATGAGCATCTGCCATCACTCCATTATGCCTCCTGCGCCACCTGCGCCCCGGCACTTAGTGGGAGACCCCGGCGGCTTGGGGTGGTTCTCTGGCAGCTGGGCATAGGGGTATGCAGAAAGTGGGAGGTGTTGGGGGGTTCTCCCGGGACTAGGGGGCCCCCTGCTCTGTGGGATTTCAACAAAGTACTTAGGATTCTAGCTCTTCATTGTATCAAAAGAGAAGTGTTGGAGCTGGGCTGGGGTGACACAGGTCTGTAATCTCCACCCTAGGGTGGCCGAGGCAGGTCAATTTTGAGTTCTAGGCCAGCCTGGGCTATGTGGAGAGACCCTGTCTCAGAAGAGAGGGAGAGGGAAACAGGGAGGTGGTGGCAGCCTGCTGGGCTCTCAGGTGAGGGAACAAGAGTGTCCTCTTCACCCCAAGTGAGTCTCCCACAGCCAACATCTCAATACATCCGTGCTGTGTGTGTATGGGGCAGGGGATGTGGGCACCCAGGAGGGCACAGCCGAGATCTGGGTCCTGTGGACTCTGGCGGTGAGTGACCTGGCATAGTGCTTTCCTCAACATGGAGCAAGTCTCCCCCAGACTCTGCTCACTGCTGGACTACCTTGTGGGTGGTCACTCAGCCCCCTGGGCCTCCCTTGCCTGCCTTGGCACAGATGAGCCAATGCCTCTCTGCTTGATCAGAGACATCTGGCCCGAGTCTGGTGTCTGAGCAGCTGCCACTCAAACCTCACAGGGCAGGACCTGGGGAGGGGTGGCCTAGATGGGGCATAAGTGTGGAACAGTTGTCAGCAGCTGGCATGGTAATGCTGGTCAGCTCAGGTCTGGCCTTCTAGCCCAGACGGGGTGGCTCCTGTGGAGGATGGAAGTCCCTCTATCCCTACACACTGGGGATGTTTTCAGAGCAGACCTGTGGGGGCTAGGGTGATAGCTCAGCTGGTAAGACACTTGCTGTGCAAGCCTGGAGATCTGAGTTTGAATCCCCAGTACCACATAAAAAGTCAAACTTAGTGGTTTGATCCTATACCTCAGCCCCAGGGAGGCAGAGACAGGAGGATCTCCAGGCTCGCTGTCCAGTCAGTCTAGCTGAATCAATGAGCTTCAGGTTTGGTGAGAGACCTTGCACATCAAAAAGTAATGTGAGGCCAGTGAAATAGCTTAAAGCACTTTCCTTCAAGACGGACGACCTGATTGATGGAGATCTCTGGGCCACACAGAGTGCAGGGAGAGAACCGACTCCTGCAAGCTGTCCTCTGACCTCCACACGCATGCAATGGTGCTGGTACACACACACACACACACACACACACACACACACACACACACACGCACGCACGCACGCACGTTCCTAAGACGTTTAACACATAAGACGGAGAGTGACAGAGGAAGACACACACACTGAAAGTTGAGTTCTGGCCTCCACACACATGTGCACATGCATCCGTGTAAACATGTAGGCAAGCATATACTTCAGCGCACGCTCAAGAGCAAACCCAGGAAGATGCTGCCCCCATTTTACACATGAGGACACTGAGGCCAGAA